GCAGGCCCCTTGAGAAAACCCCTGCCCCCCCCCCCAGCAAAAAGTTCTTAGCTACGAGGCTGGCCTCCATGGTTGTGGCACCAAAACTGGAATTCTGTTCCCAGAGAGGACCAAACCGTCCCCTTCTGTTGCCGTCTTTTGCCGGAGAGTGAGGCTTTTTTTGTTTTGTTTTGTCTGGGGCTCCCTTGGTGGCCTTTCTTTCCTACCCTATGCTTTAATTGTCTTTGTAATGCTCAGAGGTCATTTCGGGGGGGAACTGCGTTCCCCCGGGTGAGGTGCAGGGGGGCGGGGCACATGATGAAGCCCCGCCCCTGCTTCCGGCCGCCTCGCTTCCAGCCCTCATTCAGCCAGGAGGAGACAGGAGAAGAGGGAGGGTAAGTTGCTTCCTCCCTGCCTCTCCCCACCCCTGCCTGCCTGGGGCCAGGGAGGGCCTTGGTGGGGCTTACTCGCACTCCTGCTGGCCTTGCAGGTCCACCGCCGGGCCCCTGATGTCAGGGGGTGTGGCATATGCTAATGAGTTATGCTAATGAGTTCCCCTAGCTCTTTTTCTACGAAATGACCCCTGGTAATGCTTACTTTATTTATTTCATTACGTGTATGAATCCGCCCCAGCCCTGCTACCGCCTTGTACCGTGACATTAAGAACATTGGCCAGCTAAAAACAATAAATCTTACCAGAATACATTTTAAAAGATAGGTGGCAAATACGACCACTTATTAATTGTTCCCATATTGTAGACTGCCAGCCACTTCGCAGGTGGGGGGGTGGGGAGAAGAGGTCAAGAAGAGCATAAAAAGCAGAGGAGGGTGCCAGCCGAGATTAAAACAGTTGCTGCCCTCAACCAAAAGCCTTGTCGGCCCTGCGGAATTGCATAAGGTCCCCTGGTGGTTTAGTTTGTTTGGTTTTAGATTGAATCAGGGGTCATTTCCTGCAGGAGCACACAGGAGCGGAGCTCCGGCAGTAAAGAGCCCAGGGGGCAGGCACATGCAACAAGCCCCACCCCCTGCTCCCAGCAGCCCTCAATCAAGCCATGAGGATCAAGAAGCAGCCAGGTAAGTTGCAGAGGGCCCCCCCACCTTCGGGTACAAGCTCTCCCTTCTCTGTGAGGGCAAATCTGTGCATTTCCCCCCTCCCATAGCTAGCAATCCAAAAGAGTCCAGTGGCACCTTTAAGACCAAGTTTCATTCAGATACAAGCTCTCCCTCCTCTGCGAGGACAGATATGCATATTTCCTTCCCCCTATAGCTAGCAATCCAAAACAGTCCAGTGGAGCCTGAGCGGTGGGTGTTGCCTTCTGGCACACTTCCGGTGATGTCAGGGGGTGTGGCATATGCAAATAAGTTATGCTAATACATCTCTTTTTCTACGAAATGACCCCTGGTTTGAATGGTTTTCAAGACGTATTTCTATTATTTTTTAAAATCTGTTAGCCACCTCTTTGGGCCTGCTGGGGGCAGTAAGGCAGGGTACAGATTTTTGTGAAGGATAATACGTAACCAACCAAGGTGTTCCCTTTTCCAGGTCGAGTCACAGACCCTGGCCATGTTCCGGGGTTTGACTCAGCAGCTGCAGGGCTCCTGCTTGACCCTCATCTCCAGCGTCCAGGGTCTTCCAGCTGGTGTCAGGGCCAAAGTCCAACACCTCCGCCACGCAGTGGAGGACCTCCACGCATCCTTCTCGACGGCCCACTCCTTCCAGGACATTTCAGCCACCATCTTGGCCCAGAGCCGCGAGCGAGTCTCCAAGGCGCGCAAGGCTGTGGATGAGGTGCTCGACTATGTGGTCTCGAACGTTCCCCTCCCATGGGTGGTGGGGCCTTTTGCCCCCAACTTGGTGGAGCTTCCGGAAGATTCCAGCGCAAAAGCAGAAGATTCTGTCCGGGTCTGCAAAGGACCGAAGGAGAAGATGGACAATCCCCCAAAAGAACCCTTCGAACCTAAGAAGCAGCTGGACGACCCACAAAAAGAGCCCTCCGAGGCGAAGAAAGACCTCTAGGTTTATGTTGCGGGTTTCCAAAACGTCTAATGTGGCTTTTGCACAAAGACTTCTGGGAGTTCTGTTGGAAGGGCTGTGGCAAAACTACAGTTCCTAAGTATTAGGAAAACTTGTTCTGTTAACGTTGCTCAAAAAATCCCTCTTGATGTGTAGCATTCAGATGTGCCTTCTAAAAATCGGAATGGATGTGAATGACCTGTGACAAAGGTCGGCTGGCTTGTTAAGAATAGAGCGGCTAGAATATACTAATTTTACCTCTGGATGAATAGATTTCTGCAGGGTCTCTTCACCAGCATCAGTAAGACCAAGCTGTTCCAGTGTTTCAAGACAGTATCTCACCTGCCTCATGTAGCAGTGGGCATACTTCTTTTCTAGAATCCAAACATTAAGCCTTTTTTAGTTGTCTAGAAAAAACATTATTATTTTTTCCCTTCCCAATCCACTTTAAGGGCATTAAGAGCTCCCAGGAATACAGTGTTCAGCTAGAATATGGCAAATGTTCAGTCAGCAAATAAGTGGGTTGCTAGGTCTTCTGGATTGATTGTTTTTGTGGGTGGGTGTAAGATCTTCAAGTGGTCGGTAGGAACTCTGCAGCCCCTGTCTCTGTGACGGTTGGTAGGACATCTTAAGGAGAACCGAGAAGCTCCAGGGTCGTAAGTGTTCCTGGAACATCCCGTCCTTCATTCCACCCTCGCCTGGCTTCAGGTCTTTTTCTGCCATCTTCCTTTTCACTGACAGAGTTGCACATTTGAACCCGTATGGGAGAGCCACGAGATTTGTATGCCGTGTATGTTTTTTCGCCCTTTCCTCTTGCTGTAGGAGAGGCTTGACCTGGTCTGGGGCCCTTGTAGTGTCGAATCTTGAGAACAGGTAAATTCAGTAACCAAAATCAGTGTTGGGAGGAAGTGAAGAAATTATGCTCCTCCCCAAATGAAATTAATGCATGTGTTTTTTTTGTTTAACGGCCAGTGTCTTAAAAATTAAAACTTTTCCGATCAGCATTATTGTGCTTGTATGACTGGTTTTTTTCTGTCAAAGCTAGGGGTGCACGGCAATAAGTGTTCTTTTTTGCCCTGACCTGAATAGCCCAGGGAAGCCCAATCTCGTCAGATCTCGGAAGCTAAGCAGGGTCAACTCTGGCAAGTGCTTGGATGGGAGACCTTCTTGGAATACCAGAGGCAGGGGCAGGCTTTATTCAGCCACATCTCTGAATATGCTCCAGGCCCCTAGTAGGGGTCAGTCACCAGAGGTCGCCATGGCTTCCAGGTGCACGCACACTCCCATACACACGCACACATGCACAGATATTTTAAAAATACCAAAAAGTTATTCTTTTGGATCTGCATATATTGTAGCTGAAAAATATCAATATGGTATATAGATATGCTTTTGGTGAGCGGGGGGCAATTTCTAAGGGACTGAGGCATGTTTTTAAACGTACTGGCACCAAAACTGCAGGGAATCCGTTTGTTCCTGTCTTTTAAATAATACCAAAATTTCAAAAGAATTGGACCAAAGGGTCCAATTCTGAGGGCTCCTTAACAAGGTACCCCCCCCAGCCATCTTCCATTTTTTCTTATGAGTGGGGACAAAAAAATGTAAAACCTGAGAATCTCCACCAGAGGAACACTGTCAGAGTTACTGCTGGGCCTTACCAATATAAAACACGAGAACCTGAAAGCATATGGAATGCACAAATCTCAACCTATGAATCTCAAAAGTAAATACGAGAATCCACAAGAAAACCACAAACCAACTTGAGCAAAGAAGAAACTTTAAAAAAAACACATGAAAGTGACAGAAAATTACCTAAAGCAGCCTGGCAAACTGATACCAACCCTAGAGAGACACAGTAACACAAAGGGGAAAAGGGGGGGGGGACCAGTCCTGTGAGACTGTACAATCAGGCTCATGATATTACTGGTTATTCACAAATATTTATGGGATTTTTAGGACCCTCTTTTTACCCGGTATCCCTCAGTTCTAGCGGTGGCCCCAGATTCCATGGAAAACCTATACAGCAGCCAAAGACTTGTCCTCCATTCCCCTCCATCACCACAGAGGTAGGGAGGGGTTCGTTGGTATCAGGCTCTGAGGTTCTCCAAGTTCCCAGTTTGCATTAAAAATAATAAGTTGTTCCAGACATACCTTTGGGGCTGCATCTGTATAACAAAGGGGTTGTTATAATGTTCTCCATCTTTAGGAGGCGGTTGAAGACAGTTTTATTTAGGATACTATAGAGAGTTCATTTTATTGCATTTTATTTGTTTAGAGGAAGGCAGCTAATGTTTCAAATATTACTGACTTCTTCCAGTTGGTGTTCAGAGAGATATACTGCCTCCAAACATGGAGGCTCCATTTAGCCATCATGCCCAGTAATTAACAGGTACCATCAGAGTGGGGTGCTGTTTCCTGAGAAATCCATTGTTATGAAATACGCATTGCCTTTGGGCGGGGGAGATTTATTTGCAATTCAGTTCCTGGGTTCACTTCCAGATCGTTTCTCTCCAGCTGGCTTTCTGCTTGGCCTTCCTTGGGAGGACATTTTTTAGGCCAGGCAGTGTGTCAGATTTAATATCTATCTGGGGTGATTTTATATGAAGGGTGTTGGAGCTTGCTTTTTTCCTCTGTGTGCCAATTATCCAACTTTGGGGGAGAGCTGATGCCAGCACCAGGACGCACTGTGTGAAGCACTCCTTTCCCTCGGCCATTTGAAACTGGCTGCCTTTCAATTTTACTGGGTGCTCCTGAGTTCTAGAATTACCAGAGGAAACACGACTCTTTTTCACCACTTCCCAGACTGTGCGTTAAAAGAAAAACCCATCTCTGGCCATGTGTTGTAGCTTCAAAAGGCATCTGCATCTTGCATTTCAAAAGCACTCAGCTGTTCTTTGGTCCTGGACCTGAGTGGGGCCATCTTTCCACGTGTCCCTGTCTCTTTAGCCCACTGCTAATAGAGCCTCAGGTGCTGCTGCTAACCAGAGATTCTAGCCTTGTGTTTTCCCTGGCAGGCTACCTTTCTACATGCAGGGTTTTTGTTCTTGCTTTGGAGGGAGGTCTATTCCATTACAGGAACCACCCTGTGGCCTGAACGGCTGAAACACAAGCACAGACTGGAGCCTGCAGGGCTCTGCCACTTCTGTGCTGCTGCATGGGCCACCCAGTCCCTGGCATTTGTCTTTTCTGAGGTCCACCCTGTGGTGCAAGCCAGACCTCAATCTCTGACTCCTGCTGTTCCCTTTCTTGAAGCCAGAGGGAGCCACAGTCCAAGATTTGCAGTGAAAGCCAAGCCAACCCTGACTCTTGGTGCCTGCCTGGGTTTCTGTGGTTCTCCTTAAAGCTCTCTTTCCACGGATCAACACCAAATGTGTGGAGGGGGGCGGGGGAGGTCTGAAAAGGGCAGCCTGTGCAGCTTGGAAGCTCAGCGGTGATCTTCCAGGTAAAATGCCCACTGCCCCATCATTTCTAGTTATGAAAGCCAGTGTGGTTAGAAAATAGATTCAGGTGGGTAGCCATGTTGGTCTGAAGCAACAGAATAAAGTTTGAGTCCTACCTCAAAGGATAAATGGACAGGAATCACAAAACTGAGAAATCTGTAGGAGAACATTTCAACCTCCCCAGGCACTCGGGGGTGGGACCTCAAAGTAGCTGTTTTTCTGCAAAGGAATTTCAGAAACAGACTGGAATGGGAGATTGCTGAAGTACACGTTACTACCACACTCAGGACAATGGAACCCCCAGGCCTTAACAGAGATACCAGGTTCTTCTCTCACTATCCGTGCTAAGTCACTCAGTTTTCACTTATATGCAGAATTGAACCTCATTGGACTTGGAGGTGCCGCTGGACTCAAACTTAGTTCTCACATCTGTTTGTTAACTCTTGTATTTGTATGCTAATTTACTGCCATTCACACTTCTTACCAGCTGCTTTAATCTAATCTCAGCTTTACTTATTGCCCAGTTACTTCTGCATCTTGACTCTAACCAGCCCTTCATGGCAGCTAAACCCCCCCCCCCCATCTCTACCTATATGGGAGGCTTGAGGAAGACTATTTCAATGTATCTGAAGAAGTATGCATGCACATGAAAACGTACACCCAGAATTAAACTTCGTTGGTCTTAAAGGTGCCACTGGACTCAAACTTCCTTCTGGGTTAGAAAAGGAATCCCCAACCTTTTCAACCCTGCAGGTACTTTTGGAATTCTGATACAGGGTTGTGGGCAGTAGTACAAAATGGCTGCACAGAAACTCCGTCAAAGGTTGTGCTCCCCCAGCCCAATTTGAGAAAGCACACGGTAGTCTTGTAGAGGAGAATCAGATCTTGTACTTTATTGATCAACAAAGGAGGAAGGTGCAGATCCAATAAGGTTTTGGACCCCACAGCTCTCCCTAAGGTTACAATGGGAAACATAGGGTTTTATACCCCCTATGACAGTTAGAAATAAATCACAATTATTG